CCAGCCTTATCCAAGGGGCTTTCCCATTGTCAGTGTATTGGTTAAAGCTTTGGAGACCCCTCTGTGACAATATGTGACATTGGACAGACAATATCACCGCTCTAAGCCTGTGTGCTATTGAAAAATGACAACCAACATATCTGATAGTGTGAAGGACACCCTTGTAGAAAGTGGGTAAATGGTTGACTTCTAACCCAAAGGGTTCAATTCAAACACACCCAGAGAAAGAAATGGCAGTCTGCTTCTGCAAAGATGACAGCCCTGGAAACCCTATGGGCAGTTCTGTCCTGTCCTACAGGATCCTTGGGAGTCCAGTAGACTCAACAGCCACAGATTTGTTGTTGTGAGGATATTGTGAGTAAAGTACATAGTAAACGCATTGCACATAGTAAGGTCTCAATAAACATCTGACATTAGTATTTCATCATTATTATCATCCTTTCAGAGATTATTATGAAGATAGTATTGTCCCATTTTTCTGGAAAAGAAACTGAGGCCCAGAGATCTTAAGTATTATATCCAAGGTAAAAGATCTAATAAATGTTAGAGCTTGAATTTGAACCTTCATTTCTCAGATTTCAGAAGCCTGATGCTTTGCATCCACATCATGCAGCCTTCTTAGCATGTAATTACACTGAGATTACAGAAGAAATGAAACAAAACACAAAACAACTCTTTTTTTTCAAAACAACTTTTTAAACTCCAATATGTAATAAGAAATAACAGAGGATGTGGGAAGTGTTATGGCTAGCCACTTCTCTTTTCCACTTTGGGTCTAATTCATCTCATAAAAAAAGTTCTGTCATTGTGCAAAAATCACCAGTGTATTTAAAGTAAAAGTGAGTTTATTATATTTCAGAAGGATTTTATAAAATGAGAAACATTCAAGAAAATTTTGACTGACAAAGGAGCTACAGGGTCACAGATTGGCAAAAAAAAATTAAAATAAGGGAGGTACCTTGTAATCTTTCTGATTGCTTAACGTTTACAAAGTTACAGGTGTCTGAGTATTGTCTGACACAAACATCAAGTGCTTTCTAGTCTCTAGTCATCTGTAGCTTGTGTTATTCTGAGCTGCTTTAGCATTATTCTGTTGTGTTGAAATAGAGAGCCAAAAAATTAGTTGAAGAAATAGATTATTACAAGAAAAAAAGAACAAACATTAAAGGAGAGGAAAAAAGTTTTTCTATATATATTATTACAAGAAAAAAAAACAAACATTAAAGGAGAGGAAAAAAGTTTTTCTATATATATAAAGTCATGGCTTTGTTCACAATAACTTTATATTTAACATTAGCTTATTCTAATCATAAGGTGGGAGAATCAGAACAAAGTTTTAGAGAATTTCATGGACAGTTGAAGGCGTTTTAAGGGGGAGGTGTCTTTATATTATCATGTTTGCCACTAACGTCAGATATTTAACACACTGCTTAACAGCTGCTTAAGTTAAATACTCCCTTAGCATTGGGTTTTTCTAACCATAAGCTCATCAATAAGGGCAGTAGAATGGAGAGGGCCGTCATTCTCTATAGAGTCTCATATAGAGTAGGTCAAAGGGACAGTGGAAAATTTTTACAGAAGTGAGTCTCTATTTTTTTTTATTATCTTTTTTTTATTAATTTCAATGAACATTTACAGATATTTT